CAAGTATACCACATCCACCCCTCTGTCCAAGTATACCATGTCCACAGCCACCCCTCTGTCCAAGTATACCACATCCACAGCCACCCCTCTGTCCAAGTATACCACGTCTACAGCCACCCCTCTGTTCAAGTATACCACATCCACCGCCACCTCTCTGTCCAAGTATACCACGTCCACAGCCACCCCTCTGTCCAAGTATACCATGTCCACGGCCACCCATCTGTCCAAGTATACCACTTCCATAGCCACCCCTCTGTCCAAGTATACCATGTCCACAGCACCCCCTGTCCAATTATACCATGTCCACAGCCCCCTCTCTTTCCAAGTATACCACGCCCACGCCACCCCTCTGTCCAAGTATACCACATCCACCACCACCCCTCTATCCAAGTATACCATGTCCATAGCCACCCCTCTGTCCAAGTATACCATGTCCACAGCCACCCCTCTATCAAAGTATGCCACATCCACCACCATCCTTTTGTCCAAATATACCACATACACGGCTACCCCGTCCAAGTATACCACATCCACCGCCACCCATCTGTCCAAGTATACCACGTCCACCGCCATCCCTCTGTCCATGTATACCACGTCCACCACCACCCCTCTGTCCAAGTATACCACGTCCACAGTCTCCCCTCTGTCCATGTATACCATGTCCACCACCACCCCTCTGTTCTAGGTTTTGCTCACCCCCTCATAAAAAGAAATCAGATTTGTGTGACAACTTCCATCTTTCATGAATCCATGCTGTCTGTGGCTTACAATTTTTGTTTCCAGCAAGAACTCCTCTATGTGGTCTTTTATTAAACTCTCCAGTATCTTCCCAACTATAGAAGTTACACTAACAGGTCTATAATTACTTGGGAAAGATTTTGACCCCTTTTTAAATATTGGCCCCCACATTGGCCTTACAACAATCCAGTGGTACTATGCCAGTCATTAAGGAGACGCTAAAAAATGAGAAACAATGGCTGTGAGATGGCAGAGCTGAATTCTTTAAGGCCCCGTGGGTGTATGCCATCCGGTCCAGGGGCTTTATTCACCTTTATTCTGTATAAATATTTCTAGATCATATCAATTTTGAGCTAATGTGGATCATCTGGGGGGGTGTCAGTACCCACACCATTATGGACAAGAGCCCCCCATGCTCCTTTGTATACACAGAGCTGAAGAAGGGATTTCATACATTGTCCTTCTCTTTGTCCCCAGTCACCCCCCCTAGATGGTTCTGTAAAGGGCCTACATGCTGGGACCGGACCTTTCTACTATTCATATATTGGAGGAATGTTTTGGGGTCGGCCCTAATATCTGTCAATCATGTTCAATTTTTGGGCCTTTATTTCTTTTTTGCATATTCTGTTCTATTCTTTGTTATGTGTAAACGATGATCGCGTTCCTTCATTTTTATATTTAATAAAAGCTCTTTTCTTATTATCTATAGCTTTTGTAACTTTGGCCGTAAGCCACATAGGTTTGATTTTTAGCCTTTTATACTTGTTGCCCATGAGAATATATTTTGCAGTGTGGTCACATACAATCTTTTTAAGAAGGACTCCCATTTCTGTGTTGTGTTCATTGATGTCAATATCCCCTCACAGTCTAAGTCTTGGAAAGCAGCTCTCGGCCTTGGAAAATTAGCTCTCTTAAAATTGAGCATTTTTATTTTTCCTGTATGTGTTCACTGTTTACAGATAACAATAAATGAAATCATGTTATGGTAACTGCTATCCAGATGTTCTTTTATATGGACATTCGTAATAAGCTCTGCATGGTTTGAGATGACCAGGTCCAGCAGAGCATCATTCCTAGTTGGGCCTCTATGAACTGTACCATAAAATTGTCTTGTAGTAGGTTTATACATTTTTGCCCCTTAACTGTTCCTGCAGTACCATTACTCCAGTCAATTTCCGGGTAGTTACCATCCCCCATTATTGTCACTGTCCCAGCCCTTTCCATCTGTGCAAGGAGCTGAGTCTCCACCTCCTCATTAACACTGGAAGGCCTAAAACAAACTCCAATGATGACCTTTGTAATACGCCAACATGTGCAGTTCCACCCATAATACTTCAGCCTCATCACACTCTTCATCAACTAGGTCCTCTTTCACACTCGCTCTGAGATCACTTCTCTCATATAGAGACAACACCACCTTTCCTATTTCCCCCGTCTCTCCGAAAGAGAACCTAGCCAGGAATATGAATGGCCCAGTCATGTGAAGAATGAAGCCAAGATTCAGCAATACCAATTCAATCCTAGTTCTCTTCATGCACCAAACCTTCCAACTCACCTATTGTGCTGGGCACACTTCTGGCATTGGTGAACAAACACTTTCAATCACTGACACCTTGTTCATTCACTGACACCTTGTCCATTCACTGACACCTTGTTCACCACGGATATTGTGTATTTTTTTATTTTCATACAAATGGTACCAATTCCACTGGTTGTTTGTACCATGGGAACCTTCTTTATCTGCCATAGCCCTCCCCCCATCTTTCCCCATTCCACCCCCAATAAGTACTGACCCCTGTTTGATCAGTGTACCCCGTTATAGTCGAATTCTCCCCCCCTCCATCCTAGTTTATGTGCTCCTCCATCCTTCCCATAAGCCCCTCCCCCAGCACAGCAGAACTCCTTTCATTTAGGTGTAAACTATCTCTAGCATATATGTTGCACCCCAATCAAAAGTCAGGCCAGTGCTCTAGGTCAGGACTCCATTTTAATTCTCCTGCCATCAATGGCCAACCCGGTCCCACACTTCATTCATGTCTTTAGGGACCTCTGATCTCCTTATGAACTGTTTCTTCCATGATGAAGATCAGCCATGGAGTATATCTGAGGTGTATATCAGGTGTGCTTCTTCCCCACACGAGAGCTGGGATATCCAGCAACATTCCCACAGAAGACATTTCCCGCACTCAAGGCACCAATACACCTCGAAGGTTGTGTTGGATCCCTGATATACAGGAAGACAGGACTTCAGTGAGGAACATTTCCCTCACTCAGGACAGGAATACGGCTTCTCCCCTGTGTGAGATCTCTGATGTTTGTATAGACGGGACTTCTGTGAAAAACATTTCTTGCACTCAGAACAGGAAAATGGTTTCTCCCCCGTGTGAGATCTCTGATGTTTATGAAGACTGGACTTCTGTGAAAAACATTTTCCACACTCAGGACAGGAATATGGCTTCTCTCCTGTGTGCAATCCCTGATGTGTGTGAAGACTGGACTTCTGTGCAAAATATTTCCCACACTCAGAACAGGAATACGGCTTCTCCCCCGTGTGAGATCTCTGATGTGCGTTAAGATTGAACTTCACTGAAAAACATTTCCCGCACTCAGGACAGGAAAAAGGCTTCTCTCTCCCGTGTGAGACCTTTTATGTAGGTCAAGATGAGATTTATAATAGAAACTCTTCCCGCACTCAAGACAGGAATACGGCTTTTCCCCCGTGTGAGATCTCTGATGTGCGATAAGATGGGATTTCTGTAAAAAACATTTTCCGCACTCAGCACAGGAATACGGCTTCTCCCCTGTGTGAGATCTTTTATGTACATTAAGATGGGATTTAGAATGGAACCTCTTCCTGCACTCAGTACAGGAGAACCTCTTCCCTGTTGGAAGGCCGGCCCGGTCCTGCACAGTCTGAGGTTCCTCAGGATACGAGGAATCCGATGGTCCATCTACACTGGGTGGTGCCGGATGGACATTGGAGGGAGCCGGGTTTTCTCCTGGACTATACTGTGTGATGTCCTCATCTTCTACTTTCCAGTCTGGAGACAAAGTGAGACAATCCTCTGAGGTTTTCCTCATCTCCCGGCAATAGACTAAAAATACAAAAGACAAAGAGGATTACTAGAAAGGAGCTGATTGGTTCCCCCAAACCAGGACTCCACCCACATCAGGCAGCTTGGTCTCTGAGGAGCTTACAATTCCACCCTCAAGAGAACTAGGAAATGGCTCCTCTGGTCTCCTACCAGGTCATTTCTTTATTCATGGACCTTAGTCAGAGAGTGAGAAAACAACCAGAACTGTCTTTTATAGGAGGGACAGTGATGAGGGGATTATAGGACGAGGGTCCCACCCCCTCTATCACTCATCGTCATCTTCCCAACACAAGAAGTACTGCACTTCCTTATTTAGTCCATGATTTAGTCATGAAGAACAGCGGGGCTGAGCCCCACCAGAGGTCAGAGAGTGAGGATGGGGGGAGAACAACCAAGATGAAGACTGGACTGATCCTGAAGAACACCATCATTGGGGTATTGACTCCTCCCTCATTATCACTTTCTGTTTAAGGATCCAAAGTTGGAAAATGTTATAATATTATCAACATGTAAAAGTCTGTGCTCCAATCACATCATCCGATATAAAATGTCCAACTGGTAGGAAATGGGGGTAACAAAGAGAATCCATATTATGTGTATATATAGCAGTGGGGGGAGGGGGGAGAGCAGAAGTCAGGACTATGGAATGTACAACATCAAGTATATAGTGCAGGGGTCAGGAGTATGTAATGTGCAATAGAAATTATACAGTGTACGGGTCAGGATTTTTAATATTGGAATTAACTGAGACAAGTTGCATAGGTCCCACACTGCTGCCCTCCCATCTCCTGAGACTGCACTCATTGACTTGGTTTTTAGACTATACAGACATATCCCTCCACCCAGCAGACAACATGGGAGAGAACTGTTCTGTCAGCGATATTACTAGATCCAGGCATGGGGCAGAAGTCTCAAAGCATATGCCCCAGGAGCCTAGAATGAGTATTGTCTGGTGAAAATCAACATATTTCTGCCAGCTGAACCCCAGAATCTCCATAAATCCAGTCTAGATACATAAATTGTGTCTGCAGCACAGAGAAGGAAGATTATCCGAGAGAAATCCAGGAATACAGGACGGGGAACACAGCTCAGGAAAGTGACCAGGGGATTACAGGCTGATATCACCCAGTCCCCGCCCTACTCTGGACCAATCAGTGAGCAGTATGGGTGGGAGGAATGGATTTAGTGTTCATGACCCACCTGTGCTGATCTCTGTAGGAGTGTCCTCCTCTATAAATGTCCCCGTTATTCCATCCTCCTCCATAGACTGCTGATCATCCCTTACATACGCCTCTTCTTCTTCTGCTTTCACCTCAAATTCTATATCGATTGGATCTCCACTCTAAATCAAGAAAATGAGAAAAACTATCATCTGTAAAAAATCCACACATCATCTTTACAAGTCCATGTTCTAGATACTCCATCCCACAACCTTGTAATAGTGAGGGATGGTGTGAACTTCCTGTGTGGAATCCCGGGAATACAGAGGACGGGGACATCTCTCTGGTGGGTTCCTGGTATTTGGTGGCTCCATCATATCCTTGTGTCCTTCTGAAAAACTCCTCCATCACTGCATACTCCTCATCCTCCTCTTTATACTCTTCTTTAACATCAATATTATCATCCCGAGGATTCCACTCTGAAAGATATAATAAAACATTCATTGTAAACAAACATGCTGTGTATAAATCACAACTACCAATAATTGTCATCATCTACCTGATGATGGTGAGGGATGGTGTGACCTTCCTGTGTGAAATCCGGGAATACAGAGGATGGGGACATCTCTCTGGTGGGTTCCCATGACTGGATCCATCTGTAGGAAACACACACACTGACTGAATCCATTGTTTCTATGTGTTTATCAGATGATGGGGGATCTAGGTGGATCTCCGTACTGCTCTCTCCTTTACAATAAAGTCTCCTCTTACCCGGTGATGTGAGGGGCGGCTGATTGTCCATCATGACGTCCTTGTAGAGATCCTTGTGTCCTTCTAAATACTCCCACTCCTCCATGGAGAAATAGACAGTGACACCCTGACACCTTATAGGAACCTGACACACACAATGATACAGTCACCATCCAGACACATCCCTTGTCTGTTACTGGAGAATGTCCCAGAATTCCCGGCACCGCTCACCTCTCCTGTCAGCAGCTCCATCATCTTCTTGGTGACTTCTAGAATCTTCTGCGTGTTGTGTCTCTCGGGTTTTAGGAAGTCACATGGGAGGCACTGTGATGGTCATATGATCACCTGACTTCAGAAGAGGGAAATCTCTGTATTGAAAAAACCAATAGGAATATTATGTTAGAATCCCAGAATCCTCCTCACCTCTCCAGTCAGGTCTGTGTTTTATTAATAGAGATAAGAGTGATGTCATGTGACCTCCCAGAATCCTCCTCATCTCTCCAGTCAGGTCTGTGTTTTATTAATAGAGATAAGAGTGATGTCATGTGACCTCCCAAATCCTCCTCACCTCTCCGGTCAGGTCTGTGTTTATTAATAGAGATACGAGTGATGTCATGTGACCTCCCAGAATTCTCCTCACCTCTCCGGTCAGCAGGTAGATGATCTCCAGGGTGAGGTTTAGTATCTTCTCAGTCATGTGACTCCGGTCCTCCTCCATCCTCATTGGTGCCATCATGTGATCTTTACAGGTCTCCTTGTAGACGGATAACTTTGGGAAATGAAAGTAAGAATGATTTGGATGGTATTGGTCACACAATAATAGGATGTGGATGTGAGGGGGATAGGAGGGTTGCTGTAAGGACTACTTCCCCCATGGGAAGACATTTATTTATTTATTTCAGGTACTTATACAGCGCCGTCAATGTACGCAGCGCTTTTACCAATATATTGTACATTCACATCAGTCCCTAATCCTCAAGCGGCATACAATCTAAGGTCCCTAACTCACATTCATATACAAGAGCCAATACAAGGGCCAATTTAGACAGGATCCAATTAACCTACCAGCATGTCTTTGGAGTGTGGGAGGAAACCGGAGTACCGGAGGAAACCCACGCAGGCACAAGGAGAACATGCAAACTTGCAGGACATGCAGGAGGTGCCGTGGCTGGGATTCAAACCAACGATCCTAATACAGCCAGGGGGAAGTGCTAACCATTTAGCCACTGTGCTGCCCTATTTAGTCTGAACTGTTTAGTGTTTTATACATTTTCGTGAACCGAAAACTCTCTTGGCCTGGTGGAACAGAAATTCCCTTTTCTCTGTAGTTTTTGTTTCGTTTTCTGAACTGGTTTTTGATGAGTTTTAGATCTGCAGAACAGGAATGATAAATACGATCCTTCCTATGACTTGTTTGCTCTGAGGCAGTGCTGTGAGGTCAATGTCGGCTCATCATGAGGTCCAGGAAGGGGAACTTGCTGACTTTTAGCCGCAGTTGCCAGCTTATCAGGATAATAGCCAGAACTCTGGTTGCAATGCACCAATCTCCGGCAGCCTGCTGACTGACAGGAGTGATGTCACTGTCACTCTCTGCAGTAAGAGAAGGGATTGGGTTAGATAGCAGGAGGATGCTGCTGGTGAAGTAGAGAGCTGTGGGGAGGAGTCTGTTCTCTTCCCTCCAATGGCAGCTCAGTGTGGGTAGGAGAAGGATGGCAGGGAGGAGGGGTTTGTTCTCTTGGTTGCCAAGTATACTGCAGTACCCAGGACATTGTACAGAGAGTGGTGGTGGGTTCCTGGGGCTCTGAATTCCAGCACCGGGCACTGCCAGAGCCTGTGTCATGGGAGATATTGGAGTGTCTTCCCAGATGTATAGCACTGACCCCTGACTACCTGTTAGGAGATGTTGCACAAAGAGATTTACTCTAAGAATGAGTGCCCACCAGAGACTGAAGGACTACCATGCTTTCCACTTGGTATCATGGAACATGTTTCTTGGCCAGGGAGATTGTACGAAGTTAAAGGTCACCTTCATTTCCTGGCAGTTCTGTAAGAAGTTCTGAGAAGTGCAGGGGGGAGGATCATCATAGAGCCCCCTCCCTACCTTAGAGTCCCCCTGTACCCTACAGCCTCTTCTTCCCTGAAAGCCCTGCTGCCCACCAACCTTGTCAAGGGCCCAGAGTCCTTCAGCTAAACCCCTCAGAACCATTGAGCCCCAATACTCTCAAAGGGGACCCTAAAGTCCATCAGCTATCCATTAACCCTTACAGCCCCTAAGCTCCACTACTTCCCTCAGACCCCTCAGTATTTCCCTCCTTCTGACACCAATGATGGAACATAATTCTTCATGGCCGGCTGGGGAATGTTTCCTTCCTCCTGAGCAGCAATGTAAGGGGCTCTATGCTCCATACTCCTGACCCCGGCACACTCTCCATCATTGTGTTGGCTGCATAGTGTAATGATTGCCCATTGGCTGCCTGTGTAGTGTCATCATTGCCCTTTGTAGGCCATGTATGGTCAGGATGGTCCTTGTCTTGTCTATTTATTGTCAGTGCTGTTTGTTTAGAGGACCATATTACTAGAATTTATCTCCACAATGAGGAGAATGTTCTGGCCCCGGAAGTGGGGAATGTTGTGCCCCTGAAGGGGTTCATCTGGGTTCCCACACTATATATGTGTGTATCATCATCTGCTGGAGATAAAAGACGTCACAGTGACTATGGAGGAAGAGGACAGAGATGACTATGGAAGAGGACGGACGTGACTATGGAGGAAGAGGACGGGCGTGACTATGGAGGAAGAGGACAGGCGTATGGGGGAAGAGGAGGGGCGTGACTATGGGGGAAGAGGACGGGCGTGACTATGGGGGAAGAGGACGGGCGTATGGGGGAAGAGGACGGGCGTATGGGGGAAGAGGACGGGCGTATTCCCCCATACGCCCGTCCTCTGCCATTGGAGGGAAGAGGACGGACGTGACTGTGGAGGAAGAGGACAGACGTGATGGGGGGTTACTGGGTGTAAATAGGAAATAACATCTTACCTTCTCTGCTAGCACTTGCACCAAGGTCTCCGATATGCTTTGTAATTCATGGAACTTCCTGTCTATACCTGGCATCACTTCCTGTCTGTCTTCCATAGAGACTTCCTGTCTGGGTAGAAGTGAGATCCCCACCTTGTGGAACTCAGAGGAACTGCAGCCCCAAGAAGCGTCTGGTAGTGTGACCCCGGCCTTGTGCTGGGTGTGTATGGACTGTAGATCCTTATAGAGGGGTCACCTCCATATTTCCTATTACTATCACTGCTAAATACAATTGCACACTCACTCCCCTTTCCTGACCAGGCAGGCTGCATGCTTGGATTAAGGGTTTGGTATGAATTTTCCTGGTGAACCTTAAACATTTCTTCTTGTTTTTTTGCGTTAAGGACCCTTTTAAATTCCTACCTGTTTAAAGAGTCTGATATATAATTTTAGGGAACTCTCTCTCTGTCCGTCTCTCTCCATATATATATATATATATATATATAACATTTATTTATTAAATCTTTGCTGCAGGGAATTAAAGAAAACATTTTTAGAATTATCAGAAAATTATATTTAATTTCCAGTTCCTTTAAAAAAAACAAACAGAACACAGACCCTCCAAAATATACCGCAGACCATTGGAGGCATCTGTGTGCTTTTTTTTTAAAAAAAGGAGTTGTCAATAAAATATCATTTGCTGGCAATTTTAAGTACTTTTTTCTATTAAATGTCAGCTCTGCTGCAGCACTTTCTGGACTTCCCTCCAGGATTAGGACACCCCCCAGGATTACCCTCCAGGATTAGGACACCCTCCAGGATTAAGACACCCTCCAGGATTAGGACACCCCCCAGGATTAGGACACCCCCTGGATTAGGATTAGAGCCCCCCTAGGATTAGGACACCCTCCAGGATTAGGACACCCTCTAAGATTAGGACACTCTCCAGGATTAGGACACCCTCCAGGATTAGAGCCCCCCTAGGATTAGGACACCCTCCAGGATTAGAGCCCCCCTAGGATTAGGACACCCTCCAGGATTAGAACCCCCCTAGGATTAGGACACCCTCCAGGATTAGGACACCCTCTAGGATTAGGACACCGTCCAGGATTAGGACACCCCCAGGATTAGGACACCCTCCAGAATTAGGACACCCTCCAGGATTACAGCCCCCCTAGGATTAGGACACCCTCTAGGATTAGGACACCCCCCAGGATTAGGATTAAAGCCCTCCATGATTAGGACATCCCCCAGGATTAGGATTAAAACCCTCCAGGATTAGGATACCCCCCCAGGATTAGGATTAGAGCCCCCCTAGGATTAGGACACCCCCCAGGATTAGGATTAGAGCCCCCCAAGATTAGAACACCCCCCCAGGATTAGGATTAATGCCCCCCAGGATCAGGAAACCTCTCAAGCATGTTATTTAGATGAATTGGGTATTTTTAATGCTTTGCTTTAAGCTTTGAAATATTCTCCGATCCAGGCCAAATGGAATGTTTGGGCATGTTCTTGCATTGGTATGTGTTCCTCAGGGGAGGGCGCCACCTATTACCTATTAGCTCAGTAAATGGATATTTTTAATTAGACAGTCTCAGCCCAATGGTGTTCAGGTTTGGCCTCTGAGTTTCCTTGAAGTTCATTGATCCTTACTCACACCAAACCCTGGACAGTTCAGCTCATCTCTGTTGGAGAGTCCATGGCCAGAGGCATCCTACCAGCCAGTGACACATCCCTGCCCATTCCATTCAGCCATTAGTCGGCCATTCCACAGATGAATGTAAACAAAGGGCATGAAGCCAATCCTTTCAGAAGTGGCCCATTCATAGAAGGCACAATCTAACTGTTCATGAACATGGAATGATTTGTAGGTCATTGTAGGTCTATTTGTGTCCAATGGGTCATGGTGAAATGAAGGAGAGTCAAGTGGCATAATGCCAAGTCTTTGGGGGACAGAGACATTAGTAAGCATGTTGTGCCTCCTTCAACATAATGACTATGTGGGGGGGGAGAGAAATCCTCCTCCTCTTCCTCCAGTATGATATCCATATCCTCTCTATTCCATTTCTTTATTCATGGACCTTAGTCAGAGAGTGAGGAAACAACCAGAACTGTCTTTTATAGGAGGGACAGTGATGAGGGGATTATAGGACGAGGGTCCCCACCCCCTCTATCACTCATCGCCATCTTCCCAACACAAGAAGTACTGCACTTCCTTATTTAGTCCATGATTTAGTCATGAAGAACAGCGGGGCTGAGCCCCACCAGAGGTCAGAGAGTGAGGATGGGGGGAGAACAACCAAGATGAAGACTGGACTGATCCTGAAGACCACCATCATTGGGGTATTGACTCCTCCCTCATTATCACTTTCTGTTTAAGGGTCCAAAGTTGGAGGATGTTATCACATTATTATCACCATGTAAAAGTCTGTGCTCCAATCACATCATCCGATATAAAATGTCCAGCTGGTAGGAAATGGGTGTAACAAAGAGAATACATATTATGTATATATATATATAGCAGTGGGTGGAGTGGGAGAGCAGAAATCGGGAGTATGTAATGTACAACATGGAGTATATAGTGCAGGGGTCAGGAGTATGTAATGTACAACATGGAGTATATAGTGCAGGGGTCAGGAGTATGTAATGTACAACATAGAGTATATAGTGCAGGGGTCAGGAGTATGTAATGTACAACATAGAGTATATAGTGCAGGGGTCAGGAGTATGTAATGTACAACATAGAGTATATAGTGCAAAGGTCAGGAGTATGTAATGTACAACATAGATTATATAGTGCAGGGGTCAGGAGTATGTATTGTACACCATAGCGTATATAGTGCAGGGGTCAGGAGTATGTAATGTACAACAGAGTACATAGTGCAGGGGTCAGGAGGATGTAATGTACAACATAGAGTATATAGTGCAGGGGTCAGGAGTATGTAATGTACAACAAAGCGTATATAGTGCAGGGGTCAGGAGTATGTAATGTACAACATAGAGTATATAGTGCAGGGGTAAGGAGTATGTAATGTACAACATAGAGTATATAGTGCAGGGGTCAGGAGTATGGAATGTACAACACAGAGTATATAGTGCAGGGTCAAGACTATGCAATGTACAACAGAGTACATAGTGCAAGAGTATGTAATCTACAACATAGAGTATATAGTGCAGGGGTCAGGAGTATGGAATGTACAACACAGAGTATGTAGTGCAGGGGTCAGGACTATGCAATGTACAACAGAGTACATAGTGCAGGAGTATGTAATGTACAACATAGAGTATATAGTGCAGGGGTCAGGAGTATGTAATGTACAACAAAGAGTATATAGTGCAGGGGTCAGGAGTATGTAATGTACAACATAGAGCGTATATAGTGCAGGGGTCAGGAGTGTGTAATGTACAACATAGAGTATATAGTGCAGGGGTCAGGAGTAGGTAATGTACAACATAGAGTATATAGTGCTGGGGTAAGGAGTATGTAATGTACAACAGAGTATATAGTGCAGGGATCAGGAGAATGTAATGTACAATACAGAGTATATAGTGCAGGGGTCAGGAGTACAATATAAATTATACAGTATAAGGGTCAGGACTCATAATATTGGTATTCAGTAATCAGTGAAAGCTTAAATATTTACTGTAGACAAGTTGCAGAGGTCCAACACCGCTGCCTCCCATCTCCTGAGACTGCACTCAGTGACTTGGGTCTGAGACTATACAGACATATCCCTCCACCCGGCACAGCCAGCAGATAACAGAGCAAGGAACCCTGGGAGAATTGTTCTTTCAGAGATCCTGTTAGCCCCATGATAAGGGGTAGAAGACCTAATACACATGTCCCAGGTCAATCAACACCTATTGTGAACATCTACATTTTTCTGCTAGCTGAACCCCAGAACCTCCATAAATCCAGTCTAGATACATAAATTGTGTCTGCAGCACAGAGAAGGAAGATTATCCGAGAGAAATCCAGGAATACAGGACGGGGAACACAGCTCAGGAAAGTGACCAGGGGATTACAGGCTGATATCACCCAGTCCCCGCCCTACTCTGGACCAATCAGTGAGCAGTATGGGTGGAGGAATGGATTTAGTGTTCATGACCCACCTGTGCTGATCTCTGTAGGAGTGTCCTCCTCTATAAATGTCCCCGTTATTCCATCCTCCTCCATAGACTGCTGATCATCCCTCACATACGCCTCTTCTTCTTCTGCTTTCACCTCAAATTCTATATCGATTGGATCTCCACTCTAAATCAAGAAAATGAGAGAAAATATCATCTGTAAAATATAACCTTTATTATTATAACATCACATAAACAATCCACACATTGTCTCCATGAGTCTTTTTTTTATAAACTCCACCCCACCAACTTTGTAATGGTGAGGGATGGTGTGACCTTCCTGTGTGGAATCCCGGGAATACAGAGGACGGGAACATCTCTCTGGTAGGTTCCTGGTATTAGGTGGCTCCATCATATCCTTGTGTCCTTCTGAAAACTCCTCCATCACTCCATACTCCTCATCCTCCTCTTTATACTCTTCTTTAACATCAATATTATCATCCCCGAGGATTCCACTCTGAAAGATATAATAAAACATTCATTGTAACAAACATGCTGTGTATAAATCACAACTACCAATAATTGTCATCATCTACCTGATGATGGTGAGGGATGGTGTGACCTTCCTGTGTGGAATCCCGGGAATACAGAGGACGGGGACATCTCTCTGGTGGGTTCCCATGACTGGATCCATCTGTAGGAAACACACACACTGACTGAATCCATTGTTTCTATGTGTTTATCAGATGATGGGGGATCTAGGTGGATCCTCCGTACTGCTCTCTCCTTTACAATAAAGTCTCCTCTTACCCGGTGATGTGAGGGGCGGCTGATTGTCCATCATGACGTCCTTGTAGAGATCCTTGTGTCCTTCTAAATACTCCCACTCCTCCATGGAGAAATAGACAGTGACACCCTGACACCTTATAGGAACCTGACACACACAATGATACAGTCACCATCCAGACACATCCCTTGTCTGTTACTGGAGAATGTCCCAGAATTCCCGGCACCGCTCACCCTCTCCTGTCAGCAGCTCCATCATCTTCTTGGTGACTTCTAGAATCTTCTGCATGTTTGTGTCTCTCAGGTTTTAGGGAGTCACATGGAGGCACTGTGATGGTCATATGATCACCTGACTTCAGAAGAGGAAATCTCTGTATTGAGGAACCAATAGGAATATCATGATAGAATCCTAGAATCCTCCTCATCTCTCCGGTCAGGTCTGTGTTTTATTAAGAGATAAGACTGATGTATGTGACCTCCCAGAATCCTCCTCACCTCTCCGGTCAGGTCTGTGTTTTATTAATAGAGATGAAGTGATGTCATGTGACCTCCTAGCATCCTCCTCACCTCTCCGGTCAGGTCTGTGTTTTATTTATAGAGATAAGTGATGTCATGTGACCTCCCAGAATCCTCCTCACCTCCAGTCAGGTCTGTTTTATTACTAGAGATAAGAGTGATGTCATGTGACCTCCCAGAATCCTCCTCACCTCTCCAGTCAGGTCTGTGTTTTATTAATAGAGATAAGAGTAATGTCATGTGACCTCCCAGAATCCTCCTCACCTCTCCGGTCAGCAGGTAGATGATCTCCAGGGTGAGGTTTAGTATCTTCTCAGTCATGTGACTCCGGTCCTCCTCCATCCTCATTGGTGCCATCATGTGATCTATACAGGTCTCCTTGTAGACGGATAACTTTGGGAAATGAAAGTAAGAATGATTTGGATGGTATTGGTCACACAATAATAGGATGTGGATGTGAGGGGGGGAATAGGAGGGTTGCTGGACATCTAAAGTGTAACTAAAGACAAACCACTGGTTTCATTTTGGATAGAGTAATGGAGGGTTATAACCTCTGTCAGGTGTTTTTGCCATCTGTGTCCCATTGGGGAGATTTCCCTTCACTTCCTTTCCCACAGTCAAGACAAGAAGTGAGAGGAAATCCCACCAAAGTGAGGGAATTCTGCGGTGTCACCAGAACTAGTTTCCCCATTGGACGATATACCCTCTATTAGTGTTCTGATGTCAACCCAAAATTTGGGACTCTCTTTCACTCTTGGTTATAATGGTCACCAGGACAAATGGGGGCAGAAACCGCTATAAAAACTGACAGATGCTCTAATTCCTCTCTACTCCAAAACTAAAAACTAAAGTTTTACCTTTAGTTATACCTTAAGAATTACCGCCCCCCATGGGAACACGTTTAGATTAGACTGTTTAGTGTTTAGACCCCAGAACTCTCTTGGTCTTCCAGATCAGAAATCCCCTTTTCTCTGTTGGGTTTGTTTTGTCTCTGAACTGGTTTTGATGAGTCTTAGATCTGCAGACAAGGAATGATAAATGGTTACATAGTCAGTAAGGTTGACTAAAGACACCCGTCCCTCCAGTTCAGCCGCAGTGTGTGTATCTGCGTGTCTATGGCACCATCCTTTTCCATATCCCTTTACATTGTGTTCCCTAAGAAACACATCTAAAAGGTTTGTGAATGTATCTACACTCCCCGCTGACACACCAACTGTGGAAGGGAGTTCCACATCCTTAAAAGTATAGTGGTTCCTCCTGCACTAAATGAACTCAACCTAGACAGAGCTGCTAGCACCCCAACCTCATACCTCTAAAAAGAAACTCTAGAAAGTGCACTTAATACAATGAATAAATCAAATAAATGCCAACATGCGGATCCCAAAATAAGGGACTTAAATTAAGGTGCAAAAAATCCTTAAAGTGCAATCGAGTGAGTTATTAAAAAATGGGTCATAATTCCAGACCCTGAATGAAAGAATGCAAATAAACATACTGCTCCTAAAAACATACAGTCCAAAAAACCAGAGTTTCATTAGGAGCAGTATGTTTATTTGCATTCTTTCATTCAGGCTGCATTAGTATTTGGATTAGGTATATCGTGATTAGGATTTTTTTCCTTCCCTGGTGCTAGTAGCTGTGTGGTGTGTCAGCACACCCCACCGTACTTCAATTTTATGGCCGGGAGTATATGCAAAAGAGAGGGTGTAGCTGATCTGTGGTTTCATTAGAAGGAACTACAGGAAAATGGCCACAGCTTTATACAAGGGAACGGGACTACAGCAAAATGGCCGCTGTAATAGTTTCAATTGGCTGATTAAGGTTTATGGAGCCTATATAAATAAGAAAAAAGTCACCAAAGGTGTTATCCTGAGGAAGTCATGTGTGACACGTGATGCAACGCACCAATACGCTACGTGGTGACCATTACGCCATCAGCCATCTTGGTGCACCCAGGATACAGGTGGATACACCCATAGTGTGAGGTGAAAATGTCTTACTAATTCTGTGGAAATGTGAGTGTATCTACTGGTGGTTTTTTGGTCTGATTACCTTTATTAAAATAGTATTGCACTATGGAAGTATTTTTCTTCTTTTATGGGCATGTTTGCAGCTGGGCAGAGTTTCTGTGAGTGGGCAGGAGGTATTTAACCACCTCCTGCCCGCCATATAGTAATATGACGGGTGCAAGGCGGATCTCTCGTTCTGGGAGGACGTCATATGACTTTCTCCCATTCTCACCGCGCATGCGCGGCTTAGGGAGCATGCAGCACGGCAATCGCCGATGCGCTGTGTCCCTAGGACACAGCGGATCACCGATCACTGAAAGAGCCAAAGATGTTGGCTCGGTCATGTGATCAGCTGTGTCCAATCACAGCTGATCACGTGTAAACACGGAAATGCCAGTTATCGGCATTTCTCTCCTCACGAGCTGTCACGCTGACAGAGGAGAGGAGAGCCGGTAATCGGCTTTCTGTGGAGGGGACATGTACACTGATCATCAGGGCACTGATGATCAGTGTGCCCTGATGATCAGTATAGCCCCAGCAGTGCCACCTGTCAGTGTCCATCAGTGCCTTATGTCAGTGCCAGTGCCCATCAGTGCACACCAGTGCACATCAATGCCACATATCAGTGCCAATCTGAGCTGCTTTTCAGTGTCACCCATCAGTGCCAGTCAGTGCCACCTATCAAGACTAATCAGTGCCACCTATCAGTGCTGCCAATCAGTGCCACCTATCAGTGTCCATCAGTGCAGCCTACCAGTGCCAGTCAGTGCTGCCTATCAGTGCCCGGTAGGCAGGAAGGGGGTAGAAGTGTCCTGTAGGCAGGAAGGGGGTAGAAGTGCCCTGTAGGCAAGAAGGGGGTAGAAGTGCCGGGGGACAGGAAGGGGGTAGAAGTGCCGGGGGACAGGAAGGGGGTAGAAGTGTCCTGTAGGCAGGAAGGGGGTAGAAGTGTCCTGTAGGCAGGAAGGGGGTAGAAGTGCCCTGTAGGCAGGAAGGGGGTAGAAGTGCCCTGTAGGCAGGAAGGGGGTAGAAGTGCCCGGTAGGCAGGAAGGGGGTAGAAGTGCCCTGTAGGCAGAAAGGGGGTAGAAGTGCCCTGTAGGCAGAAAGGGGGTAAAAGTGGGTAGGCAGGAAGGGGGTAGAAGTGCCCTGTAGGCAGGAAGGGGGTAGAAGTGCCCTGTAGGCAGAAAGGGGGGGTAGAAGTGCCCGGTAGGCAGGAAGGGGGTAGAAGTGCCCTGTAGGCAGGAAGGGGGTAGAAGTGCCCTGTAGGCAGAAAGGGGGTAAAAGTGTCCGGTAGGCAGGAAGGGGGTAGAAGTGCCCGGTAGGCAGGAAGGGGGTAGAAGTGCCCGGTAGGCAGGAAGGGGGTAGAAGTGCCCTGTAGGCAGGAAGGGGGTAGAAGTGCCCTGTAGGCAGGAAGGGGGTAGAAGTGCCCTGTAGGCAGGAAGGGGGTAGAAGTGCCCTGTAGGCTAGCGGTTAAAGTCACCTGCCTAATCGATCCAGGAAGGGGATTATATACTTGGCACATTGGAACCGTGTCTATATGGAGATCGAGCTATAAGGAGATCTATACCATAGGATCCGGGTGTGATCCAAAAAGCGTGATGACCCAATGGGTCACTCATTTGAGGTGAGCAGCCATTTTTGGGACTCCTTGGAGTGTACACCATACGACACCAGTTCCTTGTTAAGAGTGGAGCACTGTCTGTTTAGTGTGGAGGATTCCCATAGCACTAATATTTGGACTCAAAAAGGACTTTTTGCTGCTTTTTTATGAATAGTGTTTCACTACTCGTTTCACTGCTTATTTGATGTTGGTTCACTACACGTAAGATTGTTTTTGTGTTTTTTCACTGCGTGTATACACTTATTTGTGTTTTTGGTGCTTTTCACTATTTTTTCCCCATTTGTAGGGATTCACCTAGTTTGCAATATTGGTGTGTATTATCCCAATTTTGGGATTTGGGTTTGTTGTTTTCACAGCATTTAGGGTCTGGAATTATGACCCATATTTTAGTAACTCACTCAATTGCACTTTAAGGATTTTTTGCACCTTAATTTAAGTCCCTTATTTTGGGATCCGTATGTTGGCATTTATTTGATTTATTCATTGTATTAAGTGCACTTTCTATTTATATATATTTAGCGCTGCACCATTTGTACATTATCTGAGTTCCACATCCTTACCGCTCTAACAGTAAAGAACCTAACACACAGTTTAACCACTTGACCTCCAGAAGGTATTACCCCTTCATGACCAGGCCATTTTTTGCTGTTCAGCACTGCACTACTTTAACTGCAAATTTGCTCGGTCATGCAACACTGAACCCAAATGCAATTTATATAATTGTTTCACACAAATGAAGCTTTCTTTTGGTGGTATTTGATCACCACTGGGGTTTTTTATGTATGTAACACACTGCATTGTTACTAATTGCAGATTGTTAAATGGTCACAAGATGGCTTTGCTCTGCAGTTCAGTTGACACAGGAAATTGTACAGCAACGCTGAGCATGCTGGGACTTGTATGCTGCAAGCAGGATTTCTTCATTCAGTT